CATACATACATACATACATACATACATACATACATACACACATACATACATACACACATACATACACACACACACACACAAACACACACACACAAACACACAAACACACATACACACATCACAAAATATTGCAGTGAAGAAACCGTCCAATCAGTGCTCAATAAGAAATGGATCGGGTAGACCAAAGACCCCTGTCAAAACGTACTAAAAACCCAGTAACAACTGCACAAGTAGGGTTCCACAAAAATTGTCTCAACTGTTGTTTAACATTCAAACTACATGTAAAGTTTTTTTTTTTTAATAAATCGAAAAGCTCACACGTTCCGCAGTAAAATGTACGAGCGTATCTACGTGTATACATAAAAGGCAATCGATCAACCATAGGTAATACCGCTCATCTAACAGCTGTCCAAATACCATCTATAGCTAATTTATCAATACTAAGTAAGATTTATTAAATGAATACAAATTCTAAGCAAAATTCATAATTCATAACAGTTTATTACTCTTAAAGGACGTAGTGGACAGATATGTCCGATCAGCAGCAGACCAAAGGCAATGTTGTAGGACATTTCGAACCACCATACACAAACTAGAAACACGAATTAGCCTCTTTCATAGTAAGCACGCTGTAGCTCGTCTTTTAAAGTTTCTGATAAAGAACACAGAACTGAAAAACCAGTAAGAATTATAAAGAAGTTTTACTTCAAAACAGCTCGTCTTTAACTGTTGTCAATTGATCAGAATGCGATTCCTCAAAGAGTTAAGATTATGGAGGGAACGTATTCTCAGACCGGTAGTTGTTTTATCACAATGCGGTAATAATTAGAGCTTCAAAATAATATAATATGATACATGTAGTACTGTGCTATTGAAAAAAATGTTGGGAGTGTAAGAGGACAGATGTCCTCAGTCAAGTTGTGAGACAACATCAGCATCAGATGCATAGAGAACGAAGCAATTGGAAACTTGGAACTTGGGAGTAGAAGGCGGCCCCACGGGGAAGGGGGGGGGGGGATGCAATTAATGAAATAAGCGAGCACCCAAGAAAATGCCACAATGAAAGTCTCTCTCTCTCT